ACTAGTGGAAGGAAGGAATGCAGGTGTTCAGCATAAACCACACATTTCTAACAGTTTAGATAGACTTAAGTAATTTAGTATGATGAGACCCTCCCCAAAATTCAAATTCCCTGATTCCAGCTAAGGACCAACCCTGCTAGTGAGTTTTACTTGCAAAGAATGAATAGATAAAAATAGACCAACAGACTACTAGACCCTTAAGAGCATGGATCTTATCTACCTGTTCCCTGCTTTATCTCCAGTTCCTGGTATTTAGTAGCCATTACCCTCAAAATTTTTTCATAAACATCCTGACTTTACCGATACCTAATCGTGTAATTCTGGGAAAGTTAATTTATGTGTGCCTCAGCTCCTCAGTTGTAAGTCGGGATAATATTCTCCTCCTTGAAGGGTTGTTTTGAGGCCTAAGTGAATTAATGTAAGTGCTCACAACAGTGCCTAATAAGAAGAAAACACTATGTGATTTTTTTTTTAACTTCCAGTCTTACAGTTCTACCTCCTCCAACTCACACTGAGCTCTCCAATCACTTAACTTTTAATGAGTTTATAATCTACACATATATTAAATTTAAATGAGCATTGTATCATGTCTATTAAGATTTCCAACCAGTTGGCAGACTATACCCAGAACTTTTTAGCACACACACACGTTACAATAAACTTAATCTTTGTAGTGCCTGGAAAACATTGACTTACTAGTAAAATGATATCTGTTAAGTCAGCTCTTTACAGTGGTCATAATGTAAGGCAGTCAAAAAACTTCCAGTTACAAGTACAATTTAAACAAAATGGTCTCCAAGTCTTTTTGATCTTCCATTAAGAAATGGAGGGAAGAAGAGGGGACAGGTTCAACCCTGAAAAAAAACTAATAGTAGTACTAATAGCAGCAGCCAACACAAAATGGCTTGAGTTTATTAAGTATATAATTAGCATATCAAATATCTGGCTTTACCTTAAGCACAGAATGAGTTCAAACTGTTAGAGACAATAAGGTATGTATATTTGTCTTGCAAGAAGGGAGAGTTAGAAAGAAACCAGTATTTTCTGTCCCAGGTTCTGCACATTATCCCCAGGGAAAACTTCAAGACCAACAGAATTACAAGAACAGCAGGTCTAGCAGGCTGAAGTTTTTAGTATTTTGAGGGAACTTTTAAATTGACAGGTATTAGATAAATTATAATTACAAATCTTTGTTGACATGAATTTATGCTACAAGTGTCAACATCCTTATAAATATAAATATATAAATATTTTTAAATATAAATATAAAATTCCTCTGGAGAACTTTTTAGCATGAATTATTTATCACCTCATTTTCTGCTTTTACATACATGTATCTTTGTGTGCAACTGTGTCCTCTAACTCATTATTCCTCTTTCATTAAACCCATTCTGCCTTCAAAGTCTCAAGATTTCCTTAAATTTCCACATGCCTTTATTACATGCACTCATTTTCACAGCTGCCGGCAGCTCTATACTCTAAAGATATTTGTTGAGTTATGTTAACTTATCATATGTCACATATTGTGCCAAAACAAGACAGACAAGGTCTCTTACAGCTGTAATCCAACAGGGATATATAGATTACCCAATAATTACCCAAATACTGTTTAATTACAATTGTAGTAAGTGTAATAAAAAGACTTGGGGTGTGTCTTGTATGTGTAAATAAAAGCCTAACCAAATCTGGATCAGGAGAAGCATTTTCCTTGAAGAAACATTTAAGCAGAAACTGCAAGTAAAACTGATCAAGCAAAAATTTGTTAGAAAGCTTCTAGATAGAAAGAATAGCATATGCAAAGGCCTTGAGGCAGCAGTCTAGCCACTATAAAGACAACTCATGAACAAAAGTCAGAGTGAAAGGGGAGTAACAGTCAAAAGTAAGTGGAGAGGGTGGTATTTCTTACAACCACCAATATTAGATTTTGTAATTATTTAAATAATTATATAATTTTCATTATCTAAATTATATAACTATTTACTTGGAAAAATGCAGCCTCCATTAAACAAGCTCCTTCAGAATGTACAAACGCTTTAAGCTCCATAATCCAATACAGTGTTTAAGTGTCTCCTCAAGTCAAGATCTACAGAATAAGAAAATAGTGCTTGATCTAGATAAAGAGCTTTACCTCTCAACACTAGACAGGTAAAACTAAACCATCTATAAGTTTCAAAAACCTTGTGTTTCTGACAACCTTAAAATTTACTGGGCAACAGATACATTTTCATACCAACATATACATGATCAGAATCAACGCTGGACTTAACTGTGGATGAAACATTAAATACTAAAAACTAAAATTTAAGTTGGCAAGGGGTTGTATAGCCTTACTGTAGAGTATATCCTAAATGCTACCAACTAATAACCAACAGAACTACTTTAAAACTCCTACAGAGTAACTAATGAGGCCGGGGACAGGAAACACAGTTCCATCTGCCAGTTCTTATTCTCCAGTTGCTCAACGATTTGGTAAGAGTAGGATCAAGAGCAGGAAACTGGCACCTAAGCTACCCTTTCCTTCTTCCTTACTTCCTAAATAATGCCAATTAGGGAAACTTAGGTTGGCGACTCAGTAAAGAAAATGTCAAAATCCAATCGACAACTTCTACCAACTATTACAAGGCAACAGAAAAGGTAATCTGAGCCCCAAGATTTGTGTTACAGTACATGTTCTAAAAGAAGAGTGAGGAAAGCATTTTTAAAGGAAAATTTAATTAGAAAATAACTTCAAAAATACATGAAAAGGGTGATGGAGTACATCAGATAGCGAAGAGAGCAACAATACATTTATATAGTATAGAACCACTTTATATTAGTTAACTTACAAAAGAAAATCCTTAACAAATCTTTTTAAAGTAAATTTAATCAGAATTTCATTACCCAAATATACTATGTCATTTGACATGTAATTATAGATGCAAAACCAAACCATGCAACATGAATTCTACAATGAGCATTCCATAATGGGGTTCAACCATACCAAAGACTGATTTTACAAAATCTATCAACTGCCTGAGTAAGTCAATTTTTTCATTATTAACTATGAAAATCAAGTCTGATTAAAATTGTAAGTGGCCTTCGCTGTGCTATTTTTCCTTAAAGATACATATAAGACATAAAAAATGATTATTTAAACATTATTCTAGATTTAGTAGCAACACAGAAAAAAATTATTTTCCTAAGTCATGACTGTATAATTCATGTTCTTCACCACATACTGTACACCCCTGAACTTCGTATTTTTCTCTTCTCTCCCACTTCCTCTACTTCTCACAAACAAAAGACCACACAAAATCAAAATTTTAAACACATTCATTCTAATATATTTCTATTGACCTCAGTAGCAATAATATTTGCAAAGCTAATTGTTTCTTACTCCTCAGAAATTTTTGTCCTAGTCTGAAAGGTACATGATTCTCCCCCAATCTCTAAGAAAAAGGAAAAATTTTAACATGTGGTTGATTAACAATAGATTTCTCAAAACCTAAAAATTACTTTATAAAGCATTGGTAAAAATTCGGTTTTGTGAAATACTTTTGGGGAAAAATTGTTTTCAGTTAATTTTTTCATGAATAAAGTAAATATTTAACAATGTTACTAATACTCAAAATGTATGATAAAGCCTCAGCTCCTTTCCTTTGCTGGCCTTTTAAAGGCCCATTTCTTCAGTATTAGAAGTATAGCGATGAGTGAGCAATTACGTTTCAATACAAGAGTATTCTCTACCCCCCCCACCAAAAAACCCCAATACCTAATTAATAACAAAGCATTTTTAACTTATTCCCTGAAAGACTACACAGAATAAATGTAAGGTTGGTTCAAACAATTTATTATATTGAAATTAGGTCTAGTACTGCATTCCCACACAATCTTTCAGTAATTCAGCGTCTGTCAGTTAACTAGGAAACTAGCTGATGCTGTGTGACTTATCTAATCAAAATCATCAACCTACTGAAATGTGACTCATTTATATAGTACTAAGAAAGAACAGTAAAGCGTCAAAGTCTAGGTCAAACAATGCAGAAATCTTAAATGACATTCCCCAAAATTCCTGCTTTGGACCTATTTCACACCGTATAAACAACTTACAAGTAATATGCAAGATCTTTTCCTAACCACACGAGGGCTGTTAAGAAAAAAAACATTTTCCCATGAGCACTTACATTAAAATCTAAATCATATCGCCAATCCAGCATACGCTAAAAACAGTATTTCAAACGTTGAAGCAGAAGCCCTTCAACGGAACAAACTAAAATTAGTTGTTGTTTTTTAATCTTTGAATCTTCACAATGCATCTTCAACGTTTGTCAATGTCCCCATATTGCTGCTGGTCAGAATCTAGTAAAATCTTTAAGAACATAATCCCAATGTCCAAGAGATTCATGTAATGAAATCTCTCTTCATTCTGGCTAATACTTTGACAAACACACACACACAACTGCCGCTGATAATAATAAAGAGCCCTTCTCATAAAGATGTTAGTCAATAAAACTCCAGCCCACTAAAACCCACCACCATACTTTTTCTCAAAAAGCAGAAGCAAAAGCAGAAGCTCAACACAAATGGTGTCAGGTGGGCAGGCAGGTAGCGCTCCACCTGGCATACTGAGCGTCGCAGCCCGGCGAGGCAGGACGCGGTCACCCGGAGGGTCGAGGAGGGGACAGAGACCCCAGGGTGGCCCCACCCACGGAGGAAGCTGAGAGCAGAGGCGGGTGGAGGGCAGCCCAGGTCGGCGCCCCGTTCCGACCCACCCAAAGGAGGGAGCACCGCGACGCGGGGACGGCTCAGCCCCGGGCTGGGGAGGAGGCTAGAAACAGTGACCGCGCCCGCGGGCCTGACCTCGCCGCCGCCTCAGAAGGAGAAGAGGGTCGGCTGGAGCCCGGCGCCCGCCCGCCCTCCCGTCAGGGCCGTGGCGTTCGCTCCGGCCCCAGGTGCCTGGCGACGGGAAGGTCACCGGTCGCAGGAGGCCTGACGAGGGGGGCGACGTCCACGCTCCCTACCTTTGGCCTCGCAGTCGGCGCAGTACTTGTTGTCCTCCTCCCTCAACAGCTTGGACAAGATGAGCTGGTGCTGCTCGTTCAGCTTCTGAGCTTTCTCCCGGCAAGAGCGCGTCGCCATCTCGGCAGCGGGTGGGGGAACCGAGACAGCTGCGGCGGCGGCGGTCGCGGACAGGAGCCCGGCAGGGTGAAAGCACCTGGTGCCGCCGGGACCGCGGGAGGACTCAGCCCAGGAAGCGGCGGCCGCGGCGGCGGTAGCTGGAACAGGAGGAGGAGCGGCGGCGGCGGTGGCAGCGCCGACGTGTCCCGCCTCCTCGCCGGGCCAACCTCGCACGCACCGCCGAGCCGGCGAGGGGGGAGGAGGAGGGACCGAGCCTAGGCTTCCGGGTGCTGCCGCAGGAAGGAACCCGGCGCCCGTGCGCTGCGCATGCGCCACGCTTCCGGGGACCTGGGCCTTTCAGGGTCTGTTTGTAAGATGCCCTTTTGCCCGAGTGAGTCCAGGAAGGTACCTCGCTCTACGCGATGTGGGCTTCCCCATTTTTGAGATGTAAATGTCACAGCGGGCCTAGGGTAAAACCCGATAAAATGATACCTGTCATAAGGAGACTACTGGCACCCGCTTCCTTGCCTTTGCTCTTGGCTCTTGAAGGCCCAACTGCGGAAGTAGTGATTGGGTGAATTCGTTTCATTCGACGTTTATTAGCCCGCAGTTTTGAAATAAGCATATTTTAGGGACTAGACACCCGTAGGCGTGGATTAAAATGAATGAAACGTTCAAGAGAGAACGTCTGGTAATGACATGTATTGAGGGGTAACATTTACTGGATAAGTACTCTATGCCTTAAACTCTTAAGTCAATTAAGCCTTACAACACCACTATTCCGCTTTTGCCTTCATTATACAGAGGAGGAAAACAAAGTATGGGAGGAGTGAGGCAGTTAGCCCAATTAACAGGGCTACTCAATTGATTTGAGATTTCTGAACAAAGCACTCCGGCTCCTATATTCAAAACACCTGACAATGAAGTTCTTCTGAAGGGAAGGTGTCGCCAATGAGTCAAATACTGGATGTTTCTACTTATGCAAGAAACGGCATCAATAGTAATCCTTAATGCAAAGTGGAAAAAAGAACTCTTGACTAAAAGCCAGAGATCTTGGGATTTAAGCCCCGGGGAATGGTAGTTAAGAGTGTTTTGACACGTTATGACTTATTAACAGTTTCTGATTTGAGGTTTATATAATCAGAATATATATGGCCTTTGATCCTGGGCTGGCAGGTAGGGATAGTCCTAGCTAAAGATCCTTCTTAAAGATTTTTCCTCGGCTCATAAGCCTTATTCTTGACACAGTGTCTTAAAAATGTGGCAGCAGCAAGCAGCATTCCTGTCCACTTATGACAATGCAGGTGTTTCTCTTCACCAACCTTGTCCCTTTGCAAAACAACAGAGGCAGCTCTCCTCCTCTTACTCTGCAGGCATCTCTTTTAACAGATCTGTCCTTTCCAGGAACAGCTCTTTACCTGCTGTGTCTGTACAAGCATACTTTAATTCCCTTTTTATAATAAATCTGCTCTTTGTAATATAAGGTTTGTGGAATTAAATGCTAATAGCCGTAAAGATGCCAATTGAGCAAATTAGAGCTTGAACTAGGAAGATACTACAGTGAATTCCAAAAAAAACAGGAAAAAAAGAGAAGTCTAAGGAAAAGAGACAGAGAAATAGCTTTGATGTAACAGAAAACCTGTAGATTTTAGGGGGCTGAGGGGAATAGGTTCAAAACTGGGGCAGGAAGAACACACGGGGCTATGGTGATGGCACATGGGTGAATTGGTGTTGGAAAGTCCATGGGGATTACACATGAGATGAAAAAATGTACAAAATGAAGAATGATGTAGAAAATAAATAAATAAACTTAAATTAAAAAGAAAAAGAAAACCTGTACTTCTTCAAGTAAGATATTAGCATGATTTTTTTAAAGGGGGGGAGGGGGTGTGTTTTAGCAAAGTTAGCTCTTCAGTAACCAGTTAACAAACACTATTTTGAGTGGCAAATCTTTTCCCCCAGAAAATCTTGTTCAAGGATTCAGGATGAAAAAAAAAAAAAAAAAAAGACAGAAGACAGACTGTAGGGAAAATGGAGTTGCTCAGACATTTTTTTCACCTCTGCAGCTTGCCTCTATAGGCACCACCTGCAGCCTTGCTTTACCCCTAGGTTTCATCGCCCACACATGATACCGTGGTGGTGCAAGATGCACTTGGGAGCATGAGCACGAGGCACACACAAACACCCAGGGCTGAGAGGCATAAGCACTGGCCCATGTGCCTGTAATTGCAGACACCCGTGCCAAGATGCTTAAGGACACCAGGTGCAATTACCTATGAGTGTGGATCACTGTGAGAGAGACAAGATGAAACATGAGAGGGATACCGAGAAAGAACTCCAAAGAGAGAGAGCACAGGGATGGCGGGGCTAGGAAGCTTGGTTGCTGCCATCCTCCTGTCCCCACTGCACTCCACCTGCTGGTGTGCTTGTGCTGTTGTACCTGTTTCCCTGCTTCAATATTAAAGGCCTGTCAAATTTATCTAGGGCTCCAAAATTCTCTTTGTCTGCCCAAATCAACAGTGAACCTGCCCTGTCTGGGGTGGTTGCATATAGTGACATGCTAGCTAAAAATTATCTACAGGATGAACTGAGGGCCACAGCAATTACTAACATAAATATAATGTAATGCCATGTACATACTTTTACATTTTCTAGTAACCACATTTAAGATTTTTACAAAAAGGTGAAATTGATTTTAATAGTATGTGTTATATGTAAAATATTTTCAACATGTAATACAAATAATTATTAGTGAGATAATTCACATTCCTGTTTTCATGATACCTTCAAAAGTTTATTATACATAATATCTTCAAAATACAGTTTATTTTAGAGCTCATTCCAACTTGAACTAGTTACATTTTAAGTACTCACTAGCCATATGTGGCTAGTTAGTGCATTATTAAACAGGTTCTCTAGAAGCTCAGCCTAGAAACTATTCAACTCTTAAGTTTGAATTGATTGCTTATTAGGGATGTAATAAGAAAAAGAAAGTATACCAAAGCATGAGGGAGGGGGATGGGAAACACCATTACATCCATTTGCCAATATCTATCCATCCAGTTCTCTGAGAATCAAAAGCTTGAGGCTTACATTTTTTTATGAGATACAGTCAGCGGGTGAGATGCAAACATGTTAACAGAAAAATGAAGAGGCACATTGCTAATGTCTGTAGCAAGTATAAAGTCTCTGGAAGAAAAAGGAACAGAAGAAAGTTTTCACCCAGTATGTGATACTTAAAGTTGTTTTAAATAGATGATACAATTTTCCAAGTGAATATAGATGGAAGGAAAATTGGTAGATTGGAAAAAATATGTGTATGGAATTCTGGATGTGTATGTATATGTATTGGAAATACTAAGAATATGAGACAATAAGAATCTACAATGTACATGAAGAACATGAAGGCAGGAAAGGAAACTAGGTGGAAAGTTAGTTCTGTAGCCAACCTACATAGTTAAAATTTTACCCATGGACATGAAGAGTCAGCAGAAGCTTTCACACTGAGAAAAGACTTGATTCTCTAATAACACTGGAAGGCTAGAATACATGCCTGGGGGGAAATGTTAGAGAAACAGATTAGACAGGACTATTTCAATAATGGTTCAAAAAGTTATGATGAAGGCCTAATTTAAGCGAGTGGCATATAGTTTGAAAGAGACAGATGTTTCAAAATTAGCAGCAGCAAGGTTTGGCAGCTGACTATATGTGGGGGGTGAGAATAACACTAAGCTTTCTAAGTTGGGAGACAGGTAAATGGTGATGCCATTAACCCAGATCAAGAATAGAAGCAGTAGTACAGATTTGGGGGCAGAGGAGAAAAGGTGTTTGTTTGGGTTCGTGTTAAATTTAAGGTGTCTATAGGACATTCAGCTCCATATGTCTAATAGGTCATTGCATATAGACTTCTAGAGTGTATAGAGAAGTTACTATTTTTGAGTCATTTGAGAATCATATACATTTAAATCATCATGGAAGCCCTTGAGATGGATGGTAATCCTCTAGAGAAAGCATGTAGACAGAGTGATGTGAATCATTGAAAAGAGAAATGAAGGATGAGCAAGAGGAGAATCAGTGACTGTAGGAAGAGAGGTTTCTGAGGAGGAGAATTAGTGAACACCAATACACTCCTAGAAACAAGTCCCTTGTTTCACTGTTAGGCAACTCATGCAGAATATAATCATCAGTTCATTGTTTTCCTTCATAAGTAGATTTTATTCCAAGAACAAGAGAAGAGAAATCACCTGGTAAGCTTCCCTAGAACTATGTTTGTCTGGTGTTTTAGTTAAATGTTCAAGGTGGGATGGAGATGATTTGAAGGAGAAAAAAAGTATAGGTACAATGATAGGAAGCACCGCTATGGTGTGGAATCTAAAGTAGGAGAAAGATATAGCAAATGTGTTACAGGGCACCCTTAACAAATGCATGATTCCCCTCATACCAGATTATCAGAAGGGCAGTCCATCTATGTACCAGTAAGAGAAATGGAATGGCACTAATCAGCAAAGAAACTGTGTCTCAGAAGTGATGAATACTGTGTTGAAAGTTGCCTAGATATTTATTAGGTAGCATAACTAATATATGATATATCTGGGTTTTATTGGTGTTTTCATAAGCTATACCACGTCTCAGAATGGGAAATAGAACAAATTAGACCCAACAATGTCAGAATTAAAGAGGCAAAAGAACACACAAACATGGAGTTATGTAAACAAACACAGAAGACACACATATAAAGAGAAGTAAGGGAAAACTCAGATTTTACTTTTGTTTTATTTTTTAAAATTACATCAAGTAGGGGGAACCCAACAAGATGGTAGCAAAAAATTCACCTCCTGGGCCCTCCCTGGTGGCGCAGCGGGTTAAAGCACAGCACTGAGAATCTAGGGCCACTTCCGCATGGGTTCGATTCCCGCCTGCCCCGGAGGTGACCACATGGCGTGGCAGACCTCTCCT